ATGATGGAAAGATTGATGTTAATTCTATCACATCTTTTTAATAGAAAAAAATTACGAACTATTAATCGAAAAATGTATAGTGAATTATTAGAAACATATCCATCAAAGATATTTTTACAAAAATTACCTGAACAAACTAATGAGATTTTGAAAAAACATAATGAACGTGTATTAGAAATTTATACGGATTATGTTATAGCATTTACAAGGCAAAATTCGGAAAATTTGGGACCTGATAATTGTTTACCACTTTCAAAATTCGAGTTTCCTCCAAAAAAATTTGATGAAAATGCTCAAGAATGTAATTTAATTAAAAAATTATATTCTATGGCTATTCCTTTCAGTGCTAGAACACCTTTTATTGCAATGTGTGGCTCAATTGGAGATAAATTTCTTAATGTTGAGGATTTATGTGAACATGTGCATCACAAAATATATTTAGATTTACATAGTATCCCTTATATTAAAACAAATGAAAATCTTAATGCATATTTATTGGATTTCTTTAGTCATGGACAAGAAAAAACTCTTATTAAAGCGAATGGCATACGACCTGGTGAAGTTTGGCAATGTAACGTATCATTTCATATAGCTTATTTTATCGTTATATATTTTTGAGTTCTTACCTTTTTTTTTTTTTTTTTTTTTTTTTTTTTTTGTTTTGTTTTTTAATCTACCATTGCAGGTCTAAAAGATTTTGATTTTGTTCTTCAAACAATTGTGACATCATTAGAAGTTCGAAATATTGAGAGCGAGGTAGATGTCTTAAAAGGATTCACGATGGTTCGTGAAACTTTTGGAGAAAAGTATATTAAGACTTGGTCTTAACATATGCTTAATATGAGAATAAATTTTATATGTCATAAGGCGTACTTTATAAGTCATAATAATAATATATCAGTCAACAAAATTTGAAAAAAATTTTTCCCAATTTTATCATATTGAAAAAAAATCTTTTAATAGACGTAATAAACCTTATTTCACAAACCGCCATTATTTTATTTTGCTGTTAGTGATATGCCCGGTTATATGGTTATATAATATTCCGATTTGTCATTTGTTAAATTCCACCTAAATTATTAAGTTGATTCAGAATTAACTTATATTCCGAATAAATCTCGGCTTATGAATCTAAATAAGCCATATTTAAAGGAATTTAAAAGTTAGCAGAAGTTGAAAGTAACTTAAATTTTTGAAACTCGCATTTTATATGTTGTTCTAGAGCTTTAATATATACACTAATCATATATTGCTGACTCTTCATTGCTGAAAGGTGCTTCTAAGTAAAGTATACTTTATTGTATAGATCTTTTTGAATTCTTTTGCAAGGAGCTTTTTGTAAGTATTCTAAACAGTTTTAGAATTTTTTTTTTTTTTTTACTTTATACAAATGCTATTAGCTAAAACTTTATTGGTATTGATAGTGAGTAAATGATACATATTGTGAGAGTATAACTAGTTATATGTACAACTTTAGATTATCTAATTTAAGTAGTCTGCCTGAAGGTTCTACACTAGCTGCTATACCTGCAGCCTATTTGAAGATTACCTATTTAAACCCTCTGGCTCTATGATACTTACTCATAATCTATTCTTATTTTACTAAGGTTTACCTAACCCTGTGCTACTTCTCTTTTTGGAAGACATCTGAGCTGATATTAGTCTACAAACTTTATGATTCAGAGCCTAGGCCCTATTACAAGATACCTCTTCACCAACTCTCTAATTGATAGGATACTGTAGTATCCAACTATGCTATACTATATTCTAATTTAGCTTGTATATACCTTTGTTTGATGTTCATACAAACCTAGTTCCTACTATGGCTTTCCACTAGGTTAGTTATCTGTGCCTCCAGATATCACACAAGATAGGCCTACTCAAATTTATTTACCACTCAGATTGGTGTTGCTAAAAGTTGTCTGTGCCTCCAGATATTACACAGAACAGATCCTCTCAAATCTAGTAAGCTGCCAAGCCAAGTTGGTGTTGTTGTATAACCTCATGTAATAGACTTATGCATACCCATTCTGCTGATCTTTTTGTATGCAGGTTTCCTAACAGACTTACTCACATCTTAGTTGCTGATCTTTTCATATACAGATTTTCTTCTTCAGATCAAACGTTAACTGGTATAACTGTTGAAATTTGTACTACTTCACCTAACTCAGGATTTCTGCTATGCAGGTCCCCTGTTTATAGATCCTATAAGATTTATTCATGTAATATTACATTCCTCAAGCACTCTGTCACACTTCCAATATCTGAATAATATTGGTGCAATATGATTTATAGGGTTACAACTCCCAGAAACAGACAGGGTTTACTGTAAGTTGGATACAAAGGTCTAAGTAATTATTCAATTCTGTTAACAGTGAGATTTGAACTCTAGACCTCTTGCATGGCAGTCTGACAACCTAACTACTACACTAAGATTACTGAATCTTGAGAATATTTTTTAATAACTGTATATTAATAAAATTTTGCAAATCGAAAAAATACTTTAAATTGTATAAATTCAATTGAATAAAATTGACTAATCAGAAGAAAGTTAGCCTATAGCAATAGTTCCTGATTTTCTGAATTTAAAATGGGAATAGTTAACCCAGTAATCAACAATCACATTATAAACAAATAATGATATCATTTGTTTACCAGAATTAAATAGATTGGCCAAAACTATACTATTAATCTAACTAAACTAACACTAAACTAACTCTAATCTAGGCCAGATGATTGTCATATGTAGTGTTCCATGAAAATTACCCGGTCGGGACAGGTATTTTTGATGGCTATAAATATAGTGTTACAAGATAGATTTTTAAACTGAAATCGGTATATGCTATACTGTAGCATGATAAACCCACTATCGGAAAACGGGCTCCACTTGTACCTCGCACGTGCCAGTTGCCTGTGGCAGCTCTCTAAAATCACAACACATCGGGTCGGGTCTGGACCCGGATCCGGTTTGTGTCGTGATTTTAGAGAGCTGCCACAGGCAACTGGCACGTGCGAGGTACAAGTGGAGCCCGTTTTCCGATAGTGGGTTTACATTACTGTAACATATACCGATTTCAGTTTAAAAATCTATCGTGTAACACTGTTTTTATAGCCATCAAAAATACCGGTTCCGACCGGGTAATTTTCGCGGAACACTATCCCGTTAGAGATGAAGATCGGTCAACATTTCATTAATCGGTCACTGATCGATTATATGCATAACAGATCGATACTTTGATCGATTACCATGTTTTGACCAGTCATATTACTTCGGCGATCACTATATCGTGATCGGTCATATTACTTTGATCGATTATCAAAGCTTTGATGGTTTGATCGATCATTATGCTTTGATCGGTCATATTTATATAAAATTGTTTTTTCTTTTATACGTTAATAAATAAAAAGATCGATTATTTGAATATAATAATATATTTATATATAATATTAAATTGGCTTTTACCAAATTTGCAAATTAAAATTTGCTTTGTGAACTTAATGAAGCAATAATTAAATCTTCTATTCAAGCTACATCTAATTATCATGTGACAAACTGAATGATTTAACATTCCTAATTGCTTCCCAAAATTGTTGTACTAAAACCAGAAATGAAGATACTAATAAGATATCTTCAAAGGCCTAAAAATAATCTTATTACAGAATTAAATCACTATTTCAGTAATACAGTATGCAATTTAGTTTGCATTTGAATTATCATAACAAGTTTTTTGTTAAATAAAACTTGCTATTCTAATGACTAGAACTGCATTACAAAGTTATAATATAACACTATTTTTGCATAAGTTTAGTAACTAGATTTCACATAATTTTTATCACATTATACATAAAATACCAGCCTTACAAAAGTTCTTAATATCTGATCTAAGTTGTAGCCTCTATACTTAATATTTGAATATTGAGAATTTTTGAATTTATATTTTTAGAAATTTAGAATGGTCTGAAAACCATCTTTACTAATATGTATAAAGCTTTTATTGACCTTACTAAGCAAATATTTTATGCTATCTAAGCAAAATAACAAGGTCTATACAAAAAAAAACCCCCAAGATTTTATCTAATAAATTTCATGATTTTTTTTTTGTAATGTTCATATATTAACTCTGAAGGATTAATATATAAATGGTATTGATATTCATTTATGATCATTTAGTATTCCCTATATTGAAAAAAACTCATTTCTATCTCAATTACTTATCTATGAATTCTTTCTAATTTATTGCCAATATCTTCATATCTATAGAATATATTAAAAATAATTTTAGATATATATTAAATGAAGCTTAAATATATAAAATAGATAAATTACCTGAATACTATATTTGAATTTTCTATAACTTGTGCTAAGGCAGATATAAAATAATAAATTAAAATTATCAGATAAATAATACACTATTTCTTAAATATGATATAAGGGTTAAATTAAATTACCTTAGAACAAACAAATGTTAGTTTGTAATATTTGAAAATATTGTATCATATCGTTCTTAGTTTGCATGACAAAAAACTAATTTACTGAATATTTGTGGTATTAACTGAGTCCTTTTTTTAGTCATTATATTTACATATTATGAAAAGAGGTGCTCACAGCAGACAGAGGTAGCTAGAATCACAAGGTATTTGCAGACAAGACCTGCTAATCTCAAAAGAATATTTTTGTGAGCTGCTCACCACTATAAAGAATTGTCTAAAGCTCCAATCGTTTCTATCATAAAATATTAATTAATCTCATTATTGTATATCAAATTTTTTTGAACTGCAGTAAAAACTGTTGATATAAATGATTCAGATAAATCAAGTGTTGCTTCATCTGATAATAATTCCAAATTTTCATCACTTATCATTTAGTCATATTCCAACTTAAGACAATCTTGGCATGTTAATGTAGTATCCTTATATTCATAATTTTTGCACCTTGGATCAATTGCCATTACGATAAGTAATATTTTATCATCAGAAAACTAAATTGTTATAAATATTTATTATAATTAGACAAGTTATACATTACTTTATAGAAAAATAGTTCAAAAGGAGAAAAAGCATTAATATCAAAATTAAAAAAAAATAAAATAAAATTAATTAAATAAGAACTGATCTAAGAAAATATTAGTCTAAGAATTTGAGAATTATTCGATTGATCATTAAAATGATTAATAAAAAATTGATCATTAAAATGATTAATAAAAAATTAATCATTTTAATGATCGATCAGAGAATTCTCAAATTCTCAGACTAGTATTTTCTTAAACCATTCCTCAAATGAAACGAATTAATAATACAAAAGTGATGAATATCCTATAATATTAAGTTATGATGTTCTAAAAACTTTATCTTATAATACTTCAAAAATAACTTTGCTATTATTTTTTTAATACTTTTGACCAGATCCATTGTAACAACTGGAGACTTGAATTGTTCTGCATCTTCATTTAATTCTTCCTTATTATTAAATAAACTAGTATTAATATCTATCTGTTTATCTATAAAATCATCGTTAATATCTTCATCTTCAAATTCTTTCAATAAAGCATTCTGAAGAGTGCTCATTATCAGATAAATAAGGCTCATAGTTAGTACAAACTGCCTGAAATATAATTCATTATATCATTAAAAGGTTTTAAAATTTTAATTATATTAGCAATTGCGCTTCACTCATCCTTAGTAATCATAATTGCTTTTAGACGTTTTCCATCTGCGATTGCATCTTTCTCTTGCTAAACAAAGTGAATGTCTTGAGGCAGTACAATCATCAATTTAAGTACAACATCAATTGAATAGAGAAAAGGTAAATTCAAAGTCAATTTGAAACCAGTTCCTTTTATTTCAATATTACTTCACTGACATCTTATACTCATTTTATCGACAAGTTTATTTCACCAACAAAGTAATTCTAGTCATTGTCGTTAGAGTCAGACTAGAATTAAAGTTAAGGTTAATGCAGTTTTTAAAAAAAACTTGCCAGTGAAATTAGCTGTCAGTGAAATAATTTGTCAATGAAATCAACTTGTTGGTGAAATGAACTGTTAGTGAAATAATTTGTTGATGAAATCAACTTGTCAGTAAAATGAGTATAAGTGAAAATATTTGATGTGACTAAACTGCTCGCATTATTATTATTATTTTATAACTAACAATTAATTTATATACAAGATGAAGATAATACTTTGTTGCGAGCACAAAGTGATATTGTGACCTGTTAAAATTCTACATATAATGCATGGGTTCAAATGCTCAAGCTCAAAGGCCT